TGAACACAAGGTGATCTGCTTCCCTCAGCACTGCTGAAGAGCTGCTGTCAGCTAAAAATAATTCCTTTACGAGTGGAATTCATCAATACAACACGGTAATTATGCACACACAACATACTGAATTAAAAGACAGCTGTTGAAAGCCCACAATGCGTTCAGGGTTCACTCTGAGAAAGAAAGGAAATCAGGGCGAATCATAGAAAGATCTCCAGGTCACATTTCACTTATAATAGAAAAGAAGAAAGAGAAAGTGTTAGATCATGCCTCCATGGCAGAGATATTAGATGCCGCCCCTGACACCAGATCCTGTCAGAAAATACATATATATCAGGGGTGGCGAACGTCAGTCCTGTTGAGCCGCAGCCCTGCAGAGTTTTGCTTCAACCCTAATCAAACACACCTGAACAAGCTAATCAAAGTCTGAAGGGTTACTAGAAAGCTACAGGCAGGTGAGTTTTAATTAGGGTTGGAGCACCTGAACGATCTAATCAAGGTCTGAAGGGTTACTAGGAAGCTGCAGGCAGGTGATTTTTAATTAGGGTTGGAGCTGAACTCTGCAGGGCTGCAGCTCTCCAGGACCGGAGTTCGCCACTGCTGATATATATATATATTGTAACAGATCGGCCAGGCTCCACCACCACCCAATCACAACGATCTCTATCACCTGAGTACTGAGCACCTGCACCTGTCACCAATCAAGCACCTCATCAACCAGCCTGCATAAAAGCACACACCTCAGACACCCTCACTGTCTGGTCTCGTACACACATAGAGGACTCTCTGACTTTACGACTGCTTCCATTTGAATACTTTCTGCATTACTTACCTCCTGTATTCCTCCTAGTGTCTCCTGTTCCTCCTAGTTCCTGGATCGCTGAGGTGTGTGCTCCTCCGTGTGCATTCCAGCTCCTGTAAAGGAAAGGACTCTGATCATTCCACTCATCATATCCTTTAAACTGTTCTACGAACTATACACTCACCGTGTCATCACCTGGATCCTACACCCGTACTCTCTGTGACCAAATAAACTTGATTGATATACTAACCTGTTGTGTCAGACCTCTTCCGTTACATATATACTGTATATATATATATTTTTTTTTTTTCTGGTAATAGAATAACTCTGTAAAGTTGTCTAATACCCAAAACCTGTTCACAGCAAGTCTTGTTTGGTACGCAAAACCAGTGTTTTTTCTTGTACCCAAAACTGTATTAACAGTTTTCTATCAGCTGGGAAGTTGACTGAGTAAAGCCTGTCTGAGTATTTCCTCCATCGTGTACTTCATTACAGCCACCTACCTATCACAGAATACAGGACCAAACAAGAATATCTAAAATGGGCTCAGCAGACGATATACTGTGCTCCATCATTCAAAATGGATGGACAATCAAATTCTATCTGAAGGAATATTTGCAATATAGCCAACTTTCAATCTTGACTGACCACTAGTTGATGGATCTCTTTTGGTGTGGGCTGGACCTATACATAGCCCCTTGGATGCCAGTAGGTGACTCTTCCTTCAGCTTGGAAAGTTATTTGGATATGGAAAGCGCAATCCATGAATCCGCTCCAGAAAGCGCAATCCCCGAGTCCGCTCCATATCAAGTCAAGTCACATTTATTTATATAGCACTTTATACAATATTGATTGTGTCAAAGCAGCTTTACAGTGTCAACAGGAACATAGTTTCAATAATGCAAGAGGACAATAACAAAGAGTCATTTTTCCAGCTAAAGTCGGTTCATTAACCTGTTAACCCACACCTGGACGCCGGCGCACTGAATGCTCTTTGTTTGCACGTCAATGTTTACAAATAGATTAAATGAAAAGGGACATAATTAATCTCGACAAACTATATATCATTCTAAATGTCTAAGTCTCAAGCATCGACGATAGATCGCTGTTTTTCAATGGAAAGCTTATAAAGAATGTATTTGCTAAATTTGTGTAAGCAGTACACATCAAAACATGCATAATCAAAACGCAGTACGTACCAGATTCATCGTATTAACGAGTCATAAACACATCCACTGCTGTAAATCCCGGTTTAGTTAGAAAGGTAAGGGTCCACTGAACAACATCCCATAGAGCACTTTTAGTCCAACGAAACAATAACGTTGTAATATGGATGGTAATTCCTTTGTTCACATCTCATTTCTTTGGGGACAGTTATTGTTTGTATCAGTTATGGAATAACGTACGCTCAAAAAACTGCATCTTGGTAGTAAAAAGCAATATGGTTTTGTAGCATACAGTGTCACAAACAGAATGAGACCATCCACTAAAAAAAAAGTAAAAGATACGCGGAATATTGTTTATTTGAATTCTGGCGCTCTCGCGTGACGGCTCATGACGCTCCTGTCATCTGTTGGGGGCATAACTTAGCGATCGGCTTTTTGCACAAATAATTATTATTTTTTTTTCTTCAACCTTTTTCACATATGTGTGTGTGTTTTGTGGGGAATGTGGCTGTATCTGCATGATTACCATCTGTATGACCGCACATCAGCGTGTGATTACTGTCTGTATGAGCAGCTATCAGTGTGAATGTGTACATAGTTAATATCTTTTTTCTTATTTCTTTTTATTACTCAAAAATTATTCTTATTGTATTTTTCTAGTGCTCAAATAAATCACTTATTCGATGTCTAAGATTCTGTCTATTGTTGTATAATTGAAAAACTATGCAGTGGTATGCATAATAGTTTAATTCCAGGCTGGAACACAGGTCAGATTGTGCAGAGGACTTGTCGCTCCAGAGAGCGCAATCACCGAATCCGTTCCAAAGAGCGCAATCCCCAAATCTGCTCCAGAGAGCACAATCCCCAAATCCGTTCCAGAGAGAGAAACCCCCGAATCCACTCCAGAGACAGCAATTCCTGAATCCGTTCCAGAGAGCGCAATCCCTGAATCTGCTCCAGAGAGCACAATCCCCAAATCCGTTCCAGAGAGAGCAACCCCCGAATCCACTCCAGAGAGAGCAATTCCCGAATCCGTTCCAGAGAGCGCAATCCCCAAATCTGCTCCAGAGAGCACAATTCCCGAATCCATTTCCGAGAGCGCAATCCCTGAATCTGCTTTAGAAAGCAGAATTCCAGAATCCGTTCCAGAGAGCGCAATCCCCGAATCCGCTCCAGAGAGCACAATCCCGGGATCCACTCCAGACAGAGTAATTTCCAGAGCCTGCTTCAGAGAACGTAATTCCAGAGCTATGTCAGGAGCCCACTCAAGCCTCCCTTCACTGCTGGCACTTCCCTGGCTCATCCACTACCGGCACCTCCCCTGCTCCCTGAGCCACCGCACCTCCCTGGCTCCCTGTATTGCCGGGGCCACCCTGCAGGATCCTTAGCCTGTTGGCACCGCCCTGGTCAGCTGCCCGTGACCTACCACTACTCCAGGGTTCGGCTTCCAGTAAGCTTAAGAAAGGTGACTTATGGTTATGTTCTGTTTTGTTTTAGTTTTCAGTTGTTCAGTTGCTGTTTTCCTTAGTTAGACCTAGTTTTCCTGTGTGTTTAATTTGTTCCATCCCCTGTTACCTTGTTCATTAACTTGGTAGGTCCTTTGTTTGCCCTTTGTACTTAACCACTCAGTTTCAGTGAGTTCTTTGTCCTGTATTGTTTAATGTTGATGTGTACGTGGTTGTGTCGCTCCTCGTTATTTTCCTGTTAATTGTGTTTATTATTAGATTAAAGGACTTTCTGAGTATCTCCTTCATCATGTGCTTCATTACAGCCACCTACTCATGACATAATCAATGAATAAATCAATAAAAAGAGTATGTAAATGCCTTAAATTATTATTTTAAATGATTACATGACTAAATCGAATAATTAAATTATTATAAATGAATGAATGAAAAAAAATGAAGAAAGAATATAAAGCACAACACAAATGTATGGTTGCTTTCATGAAGCAAAAACACACAGGTTGCATTTAACGATCCTTAGATTCTTCATTCCCCCTCTTAATCATATGAAACCATTTTATTACATAGACTCATTGAATGCAAGCACTCTTCCATAATCTCTTCAAAAAATACCTTGAAAAGGTCAGGTGATCAGGCCACTCTCTTCCCTTCTACATGCTCAAAGGAACAGGTCACTTCTGTCACCAGCATCAGTTAGAGGAATGTGTCTCTGACTGTTGTCTTACAACAGTTAACTAATCTGACAAACACACTTATGGCAATGTACAAGAGTAACATGGTAAATTATCTGACATTTATGAATAGCATTTATCTCATGACAACTCTCGGAGGGATTGGCATGGCAATGTACATGACAATGTTAATGTATTTGGTCTTGGTGGAATAGATCTGCTACGCTGCTGCTGCTGCTGCTGAGGCAGAGCAAGGACCGAGATTGCTACTGCCAATACATCCACAACATGCTGCTGTGAGCATGTAAGAAATATTGCTGCTGCAAATATAGCATACATGAAATAACCCCACACAAAGCAGGAGACTATAGAAGGGACAATACAAGCCAAAACAAGAACAAAACACCCCCATCAGGCAGATCTATCGCCAAGACATATCTACTTCTGCTGCTCCGAAGAGCCATGTGAACCGCATGTATTACTATATATATGTGTGCCTGGGCTACCACACCGACCGGCTTAACGTTAGTGGCCTATGACTATGTGAGCCTTGGCAACCACGCCGACCGGCTTAACACTACTGGCCTATGACTATGTGAGCCTGGGCTACCACGCCGACTGGCTTAACTCTAATTAGATGTGCACTATGTGTAATGATTAATTAACAAAATGGATATAATGTACGTTGCAATCCGATAGATAAGACCCCAGCACCCACCTGGGCAAATATTATAATTTAGTCATTTGATAACTGCTGTTACTTTCTCCACTTCATCAGTCCCAGCAGCAACGTAACAGCTTGTTAATTCATGTTTGTGCAATAATGAGACGGACAAAGTTTAGCCGATGCATGCCATTTTACTCTCTCGTGCAGATAAAAGTTGTCAAAATTACTGTGCACAAAAACCCCTGGTGGACTGACCTGAATTAACTGAATAAAAGCAGAATATTAATGTTCCTTCTCCGTTTTCTGAATTACACAGCGCAGCGAGAGCACACGTCGCACGAGCACATTTCTCCGAATTACACTACCCATAATGCATTTCACTCGGAATCAACTGTTACAGCCGTAGATAGTGATCTTCAGTGTCTCCCGCAACACTGTCATTGATATATGACTGCGATAACACAATGAAAACATCGACCTTAGAAATAACGAATGTGAACGCTGGGATAATCGCCGATGTATATGGCGAACCCCCATTGAAATGCATACACAAGAATGCTTATTTCATTTAACCTGTTTCATGTCCATTACTATCGGCGTGTCCTCAGAGCGATTACATATGTTCTAAACTGCGTTTTGCTCCAGCTGTATAAACACAGATGCTAAATGCTGCTGCTAATATGCTTAACATTCGCTCCCGCATACAATGCAAACTGCTAAGATGACACTTAGTCTAAACTTGATTATGGCTGCTCATTTTTTAATTCAATTAGGTAGACCACGCAACATACACAGCGATGGATTAGAAGAGCATTCACTTATCTTAGATGTTGATTTCACTGTTCTGAAGCAAGCTGCAACTGCTACGCAAGCACTAGTCATATATTTGAATGTTGAGCAGCGAGCTCATTGGCTACTGATACAGGAGAGAACCAATCAGCTGTGCCATGTGATAATGATGTCATTAGGTCAGATTGAGTTATACCTATCGGACTGCGCCATCTAGAGTTCCGTGCCAGAACTCTGTATTTATTTGCAATCACTTTACATGTTTCACTAATTTGGTACAATTGGAATTTCCAAAAAGTAATTGTGAAAATCTATTCTTTACCATTTCATATTGTCTGTCCTTTTACCTTTCTAACTTTAACATGTTTGGCCATTTGTTGTCTTTTACATCTCATATTTTCTCAGCAATAGGGTTTTCCTGTGCCCTAGTATCTCTAAACAATGTGTCTGGCAGGTTTTTCCATTTAAAGCTAGAAACATCAGTTGGAGTGGTCGAGATGGTAGAGATGTTCATCAACAAATCAGTCAGTATGTTGCCAATTCTGCCCATGTTGCTTGTCCAGTTCTAGAATACAAACCAGACAGTGGTAATAAATGTGTATTGCTATGTACTGAGGAAGAAAAAAAAAATCTTTAAGGTTTGACCAAAATTACATGACTATCACTTTCTAGTCATGGATAATTTATTTAAACTGTATTATGAAACCTTTTTATAAGAATTAAGATTTATTTATTTATTATTTATTTATTTATTTATTGTGATATTATCATGACGATTAAGCTCATTTCCTCTCCAAATGAATGAATGCATGAACAAACAAACGGACAAACAAATACAGGAGAATGCGGGAGTATCCCAGTATATCTAGGCTGAAGGCAGGTAAACACTGTGGAAGGATGGCCACCCCATCACAAGGCTAACAGACGAATACATTTACACTCACACCTCCGGGCAGTCTCCGGGTTCAACTGCACATTTTTAGACTGTGGGGGAAACTGGGGAAAACATGGGCAGAAAACGCAAACTCTGCTTAGAAAAACTCCTTGGGTCAGCAAGGACTCGAACTAGGAACCTATTTGCCTATTTAAGGAAACAATTCTACCTGTGTGCCCAAACATACAAAGAAATAATCTTATTTTCTATAAAGTATTAAGACATTTTACTTCTGAGTTTATTTATTTTTTTTATTTCACGTCTTTGTTTTAATTAAAAACAGTGCTGTATATATATATATATATATCTTTCACTTTTGATCAATGTTTCATGTATCCTTCCTAAATAAAAGTATTAATATAGCTTTCTTGGGAACAGTATGCCAATGTCAATATAATATGTAACTTCAAAGGTTTGTTGAAATATCTACAAAGACTTGACAAATTCAGGTTCAGCCTATAAGTATATACATGCAGTTTTCACTATAACTATTTATTGCGGCTGTTTCAACTCTCTAGAGAGCTATTCCATTTAATTTTTTTATGGATCATTGCTCTCTCTATAACCGCCATCCTGACAATCCAAGAGTGAGATTAGCCAATCACATTCTTCATCGGCGTAAGCACTTCCTTTTATAACTGTCTTGTAGTAAATCTTGACCAGTGGATTCCTGCTGGTGATTCCAACCCAAAACTGATGGCAGATGGCATAATGTGGCATTGGGGGAGAGATCTGAGGATGCATGACTTGAATTGGGCGGGAGATTGTATAGGGCGGCATTATGAAATGGCACACCACCCTTTGTCAGAAAACACAGGCTATGATATGCCCTAAAATGGCAGTGTGGCCATTATTCTGAGTTGTATATTCATGCAGAGCCGCAGAGGAACCGTTGTGACCCCACTCATCTCACTGGCCATTAATCAATGAGGGTCTGTCTTTGTGTGCCCGCCGCTCTCCCCTGACGGCCTGCCGCTGTGACGCGAATGAATGAGGCGTGAAGTGGAGCAGCGTGCCAAAGTAAAGGCCTGACACCTCGTTATTCAGAGATGAGGGACAGGCGCACCATCCGGCTGCTCTGCGTCCCAGCAGCGCGGCTACATTGTTGTTGTTGCTGTGGATACTTCACAAATTACAGCAAAATGCACTTGCTGTTCAGCAAATTTTCATGCTTTTGTGAAAGAAGCCACTCCATCACACTGGGTCGCTGTGTATCAGTGTGGTAAACACAGCAAATTATGGAGGTGTGTATACTTGGCCTAAAGTTTGCAAATACCTTTCTTTGTTACAATTAACAAAAACACACACGTGTGAAATGCTTCTCCATAAAATTTAGTGACCTATTTATAATTTTCTGCTCTTATCATATTTTGAATAAGGCATTTGCATGTTAGTACAGATTTTGTCACATTCAAAAATATGCAATTACTGAAGCAATGTTTTCTTACACGAAATACAATTCAGCATAATAGATAAATTATCTAAATATCACTTTATTATTATATATTTTTTTTTTTGTACAAAATACTCAAATTAGGATTTTCAGGAAACACACACGTGTGAAATGCTTCTCCATAAAATTTAGTGACCTATTTATAATTTTCTGCTCTTATCATATTTTGAATAAGGCATTTGCATGTTAGTACAGATTTTGTCACATTCAAAAATATGCAATTACTGAAGCAATGTTTTCTTACACGAAATACAATTCAGCATAATAGATAAATTATCTAAATATCACTTTATTATTATATTTTTTTTTTTTTGTACAAAATACTCAAATTAGGATTTTCAGGATCATAAATAGGAAGTCTAAAAAGTCTAGTTTATGTATGCCAGTTTCAATAATTTCAACAATAATCCAGTTAGTAATTGTATTATTTAGTGCATTCAGGTTAAATAAATAAATAAATAAGCATCAACATGTGTAATGAGATAAAAAATTATATATATAT